AGGGGCCTGAAGCGCGACCGCATTTGGTCATTTCTTTTTAGCATCACTACTGATATTTTTTTGATAGGCGTGTTGGCGTCTATGAAAAATCGATTTTCAGTAGAACTCGGCATGACGGTGTCGTTGACGCAATGGCGGTGGGCCTAGAGTTTACATTGAGTGGGGTGTCGGGGGCTCGGGGGAAGGGTGAGTATTAGGTTTTAGGCTGTTGGCAATTTGTTTTCGGGTTTATGGTTTGGTTTCACAGCTAAGGGTCAGGGTTAACGTCAGGGTTAGTGGTAGCATTAGGGTCAAAGCTCCAATGACCATTGACTTAATATTCAAAACGTCAATTAAAATGATTAATAAATTAATAATCAAACAGTTTAACCACCTATTAATTAAAAAGTAAGAATTTAAGATTCGTTACTGTTTTGGAAAATTTGTAACTTAGAGGTAGCTAGCCCTTTGCTGAACATTTTGCATCACAATCGTACACCGTTTTCTAATTGCGCACTGCTTCGTAAACTGAACTAGCATACTCAGAATTCCGCGAATTTCCTTATTTTTTACTCCTACATTTTCTTCTAGTTAAAAACTCCTATTTGCCATCATTTCCATATAACATTACTCACTACTTTGGGTTTTGTCAGCGTGACCGCTTTTAGGCCTCTACCCCCTACTACTTAAAGATTCTGAATCAAGTAATCATTTATCCTTGGATTTCGAAGAGGCTCACTATTTAAAAACTATCATAGAAGTGCCGGCTTGGAGCTTTGAAAATAATGAAACATTGAAGGATATATGATACGGCGTATCCTCACCTAAAATCTCACCCGCACCCAAAAGAGACAATTCTACGCTGTTAGTGGAAGTCCTGAACTTCTGGCGCACATCGTCTTGGCCGTAAGTCCATGCTATCGTAGCGCCTTTCTGCCTGTCTCAAAAAGAAGATATTAAAGTAAACCAATAGAATGAGGCGAAGAAAATATCCCTGCGAAAACAGTTGACAAAAAATTGTCCCCACCTGTTGGTACATCGGATGCATAGACGTTTTCCTCCTAATCGTCCATGAATTCGTGAAGCTTCAGAAGTGAGTGTTCTGCTTCCTTAACCAGTGGTGATAAATTAACCGATT